CACGAATTTTACTGCATAAGTGTGCAAATGTCGCTGCTAACAATAGAACATAGACACATGTGTTTTCATGTGTCTAAAGACTAAACAAAAAAGTTCGAGAACAAAGCTCGTGTCTTCCCGGCCGAAGAAGGCTGATTCGGATAGTAATATTTAAAAGCAACATCCTCTGAATAAGAAACCGTAATCTAATTGAACAGATCCAAATCATTTTATTTTTCAAATATCGGCGAGCAGGTTGTGTGTTGGTTCTTGAGTTTCTTCCCATTCATCTTCCTGTCAGTGACCCATACAGGGGGTGTGGATGTAAACGCGGATCTTTAACACTCGTTAAATTCACTAAAGTAGCCATATTAACTTTTAAGGTAAAATTTTATTAAAAAGATTGTGTAGAAAATCATTTTACGGGTAATTTCAGATCCTCACCAACCCCCACCCAGTTATCTCGTTAAACTTCATTCGTATTATGATTTCAATAAACCCGCTAAATAGTACTCGTAAATACCAAATTAGTATTTCGAATCGGTATCTCAAATACAGACAGGGCTATGGAAGCTTATATGGCAATCTTTACAATAAAATACAAAAGTGGTACTTATACTGAAATGTCAACCCTCGGTTTCAGATTCTGAACAAACAGGATTACGTTTGAATGATTAACAAATACTATCAGCAAACTAAAAATGAAAAAGTCCCCCGATTTCTGATCTCTACTGTGTACATTAACGTTTAATGGAACAACTGTTCTACAGAATTTCCAGATCAGTTAATAATATTCGGGGTTGGAACTCAAGATAAAAGTCGCTTCTGCGGCTGCAATTCTTTATCAATGTCAAGTTTACTTAACACTATTCTACAAGCATAAAGTACATAGTTTCCCTTTGATCATTTGTACATGATTTTTTCCGCCTCGAATCTCCTCATTCGTGATTCTATTACGCCCATTATTATATTTTTTCATTTTGAATAGAGGACCACTATCCTTCTACAGTGCTTTTCAAAATGGCCATTTTAATTTACCGAATTTCTAATCATCAATGCGTTCTATTAATAATTTAATTAATGGATTCATACAATTGCAAGTGTTTACAATTTATGAAATATTTTGTCATTTCCTTCTTTTCCATTTCAGCCTGATAAAAGGCCCACTTGTCCCTATTCGGGCAGTAAATAGGTAAATAGTTACAGATCTGAATCAGCAAAATGATTGTAAGAATTAGATTTCTCCTCTAATTATTGTCTCAACGCAGATAACATTTACTGCTGGGCTGAATAGACCATTTACATTTAATGCCGTTTGCCTTCCCAATACAATCGATTATAAAAACTATATTTGTACTGTGAGTAAAGGTCATTCGGCCCGTCAAGATTTTGTATGCTAAGGCGGATACATGCATTACACTAAAATTACAATACAATTATTAACGGGGGAAAGAACATTGGGAAAATACTATCTTGTTTTGTAGATCAGATTAGAATTTATTGCACAGACTATTCGGCCCATCGTGTCCGTGTTTCAAGAGCAATCCATTCAGTCCCGTTCGCCTGCATTTCTCCTACACCTTTTCTAAGTACACCTTTTTACAAGATAATAATAATGATCCTTGCATGTGATGCAGCGCCTTGTCACGTTGTTGAGACATGTCAAAGTGCTTCACAGAAGATACTGTAAAGTGAATTTACTGTATATTTTGTGGGCGAAATATAAGTTAAACTGTGTTTTCATAATTAATATAACAGTGTCAAAAGAGGTAAAACATTCTGCATAAGGGAAAGCTGTACAATTTGTTTGTTAATACAGACTGTATTAACTAAGCTGTGTAACGTATTTAGAGTTTGTATTGTGATGATTAGACTCCATATAGCCTATGGGAAATAAATTAGTACCGAAGAGAATATTATTTTAACAGTATTTAAAGAGACTGGTGAAATCCTACTTAAAATATCTATTACATTTAGAATAGGCTCCCATAGAAGTGAAAGGGAGCCATTTTGTATGTAGGAGAGGGAGATGCATGCACACAGAAGTTGCAGACTATAAAGATAGGTTTAACCAGTGCAAAATACCAGACCGGTAAATCGAGTACTGACACTAAAGATATAACAGTTGTTCTCCCTTCAAATGTATTTACAGTAAGGACTACCATGTTTTAGATCACAGTACAATACAAGCAGAACAAGTTATTCATTATTGGGACGCCCTACCGACGTGAAAAACACTATACAAATGTAATTTTGTATTGTAAATTCAGATTTATATTTCAGAAATTTAAGAGGCAACCAATCCTAGATCTGTATGGAGGGTATAAATGAATATTTTGGCTAAAATAGCCTTCAAAACGTGTTTTATTCCTCCAAATGAATTCAGCATATAATAGTCTTATTTTATTCTGTCATTACAGTAAACCTTGCATTTAATATAACGCTAATCACATTGTGGTATGTGAATTGTAGGCGAATGATTAAGGGTTAACTTTAACAAACCAGAAAAAAGCAGGAAAGTGGGGGTACGTGATGGGGCGGGGTATACAGTCGAACTTGCGTACAGTTAAAAGAGTACGACTTTTTACGCGTGATATTTCTAGGTTGAATCCAGGAGAAGTTCGTGGGACCTCAACTGTATTGTCAAAGGATAAAGCAGATAAAATAAATAAAATCCCTCCGTAGAGCGATTATAATCCCGAGTGAACTCACCAGCAAAATTGCTACTTTCATCCAGAGGGGATCGAAAGCAAGACGCTTCCAAGAAATTACCAGAATCACAACCAAATTAGCAGCTGTGAAGGTAATACTCATTTATTTCGGAACAGTAACTGAGTCAGTTTGACCGAATAACAATGAAAATCTATTGTGAATGATATAATTGATGTGAGAATTACTCTGTGAGAACAAAAGTGATAATATAAATGAATATTCTCTTTTTTTAAAATTAAATTGTACAAAGGAAATGGAAGATTTTTCTTTCGTGTCGATGTGGCTATTAAAAATGTACATTTTTTAAAAAAAAACAATCCCGAAAGGTACAGAATTGCAATCAATGAATCAATTAATCAAGAATTAATTCCAAGCAAATCTACAGCAAATGGCATCTTTTATTGAACATCTGTTGAAATCTGACGAGAAACAACAAAAAAAAATAATGGGGGCTGATTAATTGCTTTTAATGTTGTTTTTGTTTACAAATTATTATGCTGCAGGAATTATGTATACCGATAATAACCACTTCAAAAATTGATACGCGCGACTGCCTTTTAAACGTAAATGAAACCCATTAAATTAAAATAGGCACAGAACAGCTCACGCTCAAGAAATTTTCCCCACTGTAAAATGCTGTGATCATTTCTTTTTTTAAAAAAAAACGTTACCCCGTTATTGTTATGTGCATCTTCGAGCAGATCCGATTTGACCTCCCCGTCCGTTGTGGTATTTCACGTTGCTATAAATTGATCGTCGCGGCGAAAAAAATAACCCTATTTATTCGAATCCAATTCGCTTTCAGTGACGGAAAGTCCCCGATTTCATCATCAAACAGGTCGTTTGATTTCTGAGGGCGACAGCAAACGGACTGAAAGCCGCATCTCTCCCCCTCTCTCCCTCTCTATATATAGATAGATATCGTAAAATAAAATAACACGAAAAAAACAACCAACAAATTTACGAACAACCGTTCGGAGACTTATAAACGTTTTTTCTAACAAAATAATTTTGTCCCGCAATCCCCCCCCCCCCCACCTCCCGCCCCCCCAAAAAAATAGTATTTCGTGTTTTTGGCCCTTTTGTCGGTTTACGTGGATTTTTCTTTTTTCTTTTTTTTAAAAAAAACAGAAAAGTGCGTTAAGAGAAGCACCGAGTGGTCTGCCCGCCGGCCCTTGGGGCTACGTCATGACGCCGGGACGCGCCCCCAACGTCATGACGTCGGCGGCATCGCCAGTCGCCCGAGCCACGCACAATGTGGGCGGGTTCACGCCCCCTTTGGGCGGGTTGTGCGCGATTAAAACCGAACCGCTTTGGGCGGGCGCCTGAATTTTTTTAAAAAAAGATAAAATCTGCAAACCACTGTTTCCCCGTTTGAGAAGACCTTTCCTGACGCAGTTTCAAAAACACTCGACCAAAATCGGCCGCTCTACTGGTTCCCCAACCGGAGGCGGCGCTTCATATTGGGCCACTTTCTAGGGCGAGTGTTTTGGTGGACTTTGGGCTACAAATGTTATGTTTGATTAGTTTCTGGCCGAACTCCCTGAGACTCGCGCTGCGCTCGGTCCGACGCACCTGCTCCTCTCACGGGGCGAGAAAAAACCGCGCGATTTCCCAGGGACCGTCCGCGGCTGCCCCTTCCTCCCCCCACCCACGCCCACCACCCCCTCTCCGTCGTTGTCCTTCTGAATGGTTACTTTTCCGACTCATAAAACAAACCGCCCCCGCCGCTCCTTTGCCTCTTACACAGCCGTATTTCCTCTCTTACTCTCGCCTTACCTACGGGAGCTCCTGGAGCATGCGCACTGCGGGCCGGCCTGATGCAGTTGCTATGGTCGCATTCCCCGGCGCAGGCGCACTCTCAGTCTGTCCGGCTGGACGCGGCTGGTTCGTCGAGAACGTCACGAGCCGGACGCGGTTGCTCGACCGCCCCCCCCCCCCCCACGTGAACTGTGACGTCAAGGCTGAGCAGAGCAGAGCGCGAGCGCCTGTCACTCACTCACTCACTGCCGAGCGGCGCTGTGCAGACAGAGCCGCGCCGAGCACAGGGGACCGAGTCAGCCAGTGAGCCCTCCCCTCCCCAACCCCACCCCCCCCCCTCTCCCCAACCCCTCCCCCACCTCACCCCACTCCTTATCAGCGCCGCCCCGACCGACAGGGGCTGCATCCACACCGCCGATCGGAAAGCAATTCATCTGATTCACAGAGCAGGTTGGAAGCTGAGGGAACCAGTCATCCGAATTCACCTTCTGTTGCTTACTTTTTTTTCCACAACACAGTCCAGCAGGAAGAAAATATATATATATATATATATTTATATATATATTCCCTTTGAACTATGGCTAATAACGACGAACTTGCAAATGCAGCGGCTCAAGGAGATATGCACAGGATGAGGGAGTTATTGGATCAAGGAGCGGACCCCAATGGTATAAATAGTTTTGACAGAACGCCCATCCAGGTACTGTGAACGCCGCTTCCCTTCTGTCCCGTTTTGTTGTCTCCTGTTGACGCATCGGGTTTCTGCGTTAAAAGCGACATTAACAGTGGCAACGGCTGGAATGATGCTAATAACATCGTTGAGTAAAGAAGCATTTAACCACCGATTCTGTCCAAAAAAGCGCCGCTCAACCCAAACCCAATCCATCAATGTTCACCCGATTGTACATCACGAACATCTGCAGCTCTAAACTGCGGTGATTTCGATACTGAATTTCGGAGAGAATCTAATCTTAAAAAAAAAAGTGAAATCTTCATTGGCGGCGATGTTTTTTTTCGATGCAGATTGAAACTTAATCTAATTATCTTTGCAATCCCGGAAGTATGCATTAAAAATAACGCACCATTTGTTTTCTAAAAAAACGAGGCCATAAATAAACCAGAGAAACTTTCTCTGTAAAAGTCATTGTCGCGCAGTTTATTTGTCTCCTCGATTTGCTTTATGCAAAAGAATGTACTCCTCCCCCCGCCCCAAAAAATGACGAGTATTAAGTTGTTTTAAAGTTTTTGATATTCGTTTTAATGTGGGTGTTCGCTTAAACGTTGCTTTCATTTTGACTTTCATCCGACACGTTTAAATCACTCAAACAATTAGAAACGATTCGCATTGTTTTCTACTATTTTCGGTTATTTATTTGTGTTCCATTGTTTTGCGATGCACTTGGGGGCGAATTTCCTTCAGAAATATTATTTTCAATGGTACTTTCTCGTTGAGTTTTTTTTTATTCCTTTTCTGGGAAATGTTATTTCATGCAACTGATGAACGTTATGTCATTCTGATTCCTGCAAAACTCCTGAAAATACCGAGATGACGTTCCGTTATTCTTGAAATAGCACAGCTCGATTATTCTTTAAAAAATAAACGGTGGTGATCTACAGATGTGCTTATCAACTTGTAAATGAAATGGATAGATTCAAATATCACATTTTTAAAAAAATAATCAGAATTTGTTTCACATTTTTATGTTATTAGAACTATTCCTAACGGTGAAATATGATACGAGGATAATGCACGGGGACTGCATCTCTATGGTATTAAAGAGATGTACATCCCATATAATTGAATGGTTTGATCTCTTTGAAACCGTTTTAATGTTACATAAATCGTAATGAACGTTGTCAAAATCTGTTAGTCCCATTTAAACAATTTGTTGCTTCCATTTCGCAATCACCAAGTTTTGAAATGGTTACGTTATTGTATCGAAACGAATCTAACCCACACACAAGAGCGCTTTCTCGGATTTCTAAATTATTAGGCAAAGGTCTAAACTGCAATGTAATTTAATACCAGGCGGACACACACATATATATATACATAAACCAACACGGATAGAAATCAGATACAATGCAGATAGTTTCACCTACAAAAATACATAACTTTTCACCCACAAAGCACTCAGTCAATACACTTTACAGTGCATTCTGTGAAGCGCTTTGAGGCGTTTCGAAGACGCGATAAGGCGCTATATTAAATCCAAGGATTAGTACTATACACTACATTTCGCAGTGAATTATGTGAACCGCTGTGAGACATTTCGAAAAGTGATAAGACCTGATATCAAATGCAAGGATTATTGTTATACTCTAGTTTGGGGGAGAATGGCTTTGAAACATTTTTAATCTTACATAAATCGCAATAAATGTTGCCCAAATCCGTCCCTTTATTAATGTTGTCCAATCGGTTGTTACAATGTCTATTTGGATTTTTACTACAGTCTAAATACTGCAAAATGCAGTATTTTAATGGCAAACAGCAGTATCTTAGGGCGTTTTTCTGTAAATGCGACGTTTGCATTCCTCATTTATTAAAGGATTTTCACTACAATAAATAAAACAAGTCAATATTTTGTTTAAAAAATACTGTAGTAAAAATCACTTTTTGATTAAATATTCGGTTAAAGTGTACGTTGATCGGTGTTATTAAATCACTAGAAATCTTAATAAGGAACGGATCTTGTAAAATGCAATATTGTTATATTCCGTTCTGGGGAAGATGGTATCTTTGAAAATGTACAAGATCCGTTTCTGTGAAATGTTGTGTACGTATTTTTGGAGGTGAAAGTATCTGCACTGAACCTGAGTTGTAACTGTAATTATTTATCTTTATATGTATGCGTCCGCCTGGTATTAAATTACATTGCAGTTCAGACCTCTGCCTAATAATTTAGAAATCCGAGAAAGCGCTCTTGTGTGTGTGGATTAGATTTGTTTCGGTGCATTTCAAAACCCAGTGATATCGAGAATGGAAGCAACACACAAATGCTGAGTGTGTGTGTGTGAGAGAGAGAGAGAGAGAGAGGCTGCGAGTTGAATTATAAATATAATATTATATATAATATTTTACTCCGATGCGATGTGGGGACTGTTATGGACCGTGTGCGATGATATGGTCCGGACCAGAGTAGACCAATTATCTGACCTGGTCTGGAGCGGGAGCGGTGAGAGAGTGGATCCCATCTGCACCGCAGCACTGACACTGCTGTCGCCTTCTCCTGTTGTTGCAGGTCATGAAGATGGGGGTCCCAGCAGTGGCTCAGCTCCTCCTGGAGAGAGGAGCAGATCCCAACCGCCAAGACTCGATGGGCATGGCATTAATTCACGATGTAGCCAGGGAAGGTTTCTTGGACACCTTGCAGGTCTTGGTAGGGTTTGGCCATGCGAATCCGAGCCTCCGAAATGCAAGCAACCACCTCCCCGTGGAGCTGGCCAGCCAGAGCGGCCACACTGACGTGGTCAGGTATCTGGATAACCTCCCCAAAGCCGAATGAACGGAAGCCTATTTATTCCTCAGACCTGAACCAGAGTGAGGTTTGAAGTCCTCATTCTTTCTCACAACCGAAAAAAACAAACAAAAAACATTTGGTGTTTGGGACATTGAATTTAAAAGCAAATAGCCCAGTCCTCAATAGTTCAGGGACTATTATAAACAAATGTTCACCTTCTACAACCTACTGGTTTTGCAGTGTTCTCGAAACTCACAAATCGCATCGAAGTTACAGCATGGTGTGCATTCAATATCCGGGGGCATCATTACATCCGATGGAAAGATGTAGTCAGCGTGAAAACAGCATTGAAAACCCCACAGAAGGAAGTGATACCCCCCCAAATAAATTTTAGATCGCCGACTTTTAATGTATGTTTTTTTCGAAAATGCTTAGTGTTATCGTACATTTAGCTGAACATACCTAAGTACGCCTTAACCTCTTCAAATTATGAATCAATATCTTAATTTTTTAAAAAAATATTTTTTATATTTTTAAAAAATATTAAATGGTGGAAATTTGTATTACAAATGTAATATAAAATAATTGAGACAATACATAAATTAAAAATTACCTAATTAAAATGAATATTAATTAATAAACAAACAAACGGGCTACTTTTTCCCATTTCAGAATATAATAATAATACCTCCATAACTCAATCGCTGCTAACTTTTGGAGTCCTGTAGCTCAGTAGTTAGAGCACTCGCTTTGCAAGTGAGAGACCTGAGTTCAATTCCAGGCAGCGCGAAACCTTGGGCAAGTTTCCTTACTCCACACAGAGCCTAATAATAATCCCTCCAAAAAAAAACCAAATCAATAATAAATTGGTCATTTTCAATCCACGACTGTTTGTGGGACATTGCTGTGCGCAATTGGCTGCCGCGTTCGCCCACAAATATACAGTCAATTCACTTTACAGTGTGTTCTGTGAAGCGCTTTGGGACGTCCTCCCGACGTGAAAAGCGCTATATCAAATGCAAGGATTATTATTATTATTATTATTATTATTAACTAATTCCCCACTGTTGGATAAACTACATACATTGGATATATAAATATAACAGGAGATATCAAATCCTGCATAAATAATGATTCTTGGAGTCAAGATAACCATCTTCTATCCAATCTACAGTGACTGCCTTCATGTGTTGGGGAATGACTGTGAATGTGCTTTCGGTTAACCACTGCATATCAAGTAGTTCAGGAAAAACTGACGAGAACTGGTTTCTCAAGAATTGATTCTTTAAGTATGACAATTGTAAATTTTCACTGATTTCCGGACAGTTATTTTGTAGACTACGTGGATGGAGACACTGTAGTTTTAAAAAGTGGGCGTACTAACCCATAAGCTGCTTTTTTAAATTAAAGATTGGAATTATGTATTTTTTTGATCAGTTCTGGTGTCTGACACATGCAGAAACCCACCAGGGGTAGTACCAAGGCATCGGGACCCCAAACTGTGCGTTGGAGGTACTACTGGGGTCTGACGAGCTAAAATGTACAGCACCGTCTGACGAGCTTTCCCGACGCTTGAAAGGCACTATGTAGAGATACAAATTTGTTGTTGTTGCTTATCCAGTTGGACCATCTGTCTGGGTTGCAGGGTTAACACGAGCTGAGTGGGAGGATTCCCTGCCCCCACTGACTAGTCTCCCCTTCTTGTCCTACCGGTGAGGCAGGCAGGCAGGCAGGCTGGCAGGCAGGCAGGCTGGCAGGCTGGCTGGCTGGCTGGCAGGCTGACTGGCTGGCAGGCAGGCAGGCTGGCAGGCAGGCAGGCTGGCTGGCTGGCAGGCTGGCAGGCTGGCTGGCAGGCAGGCTGGCTGGCTGGCTGGCAGGCTGACTGGCTGGCAGGCAGGCAGGCAGGCTGGGCAGGCTGGCAGGCTGGCTGGCTGGCAGGCTGGCAGGGCTGGCAGGCAGGCTGGCTGGCAGGCAGGCAGGCTGGCAGGCTGGCTGGCTGGCAGGCAGGCTGGCAGGCTGGCTGGCAGGGCTGGCTGGCAGGGCTGGCTGGCAGGCTGGCAGGCTGGCTGGCTGGCTGGCTGGCAGGCAGGCAGTGCTGTCATCAGCAGTGACCTGGAGTATTGCGGACTTCACTGGCTCAAGACTTGTACTGAGACCCGCACAGAGGGCTGATTCGCTTCTGAGACTATCACTTTGAAGCCAGTTCAGCTCCAAGAGACCCCGCTTACCTTCCTCTACATGACTTCGAATCCACCAGAGAACATCAAAATATCAGTTAGTTGCAGAAATCTATACACTTAAAATAAATATGCATTTATTTGTGGTACATTTTTGGCTCATCTAGTTTACAGCATGATTACCAAATGAAGATGCAAAGGTTGAAACGTAGAGTTGGCTTTTTTAATTCTGTTTTTGTATAATTTGGCTGTTATTGTACATTATTCTCTTGAGAGGATGCCACAAGTCGCTGAAAGGATGCCTGATTTCTTATGCATGTACATACATGTAGACTGTATTTTTTTTTAAAGTTAATTTATCACAATGTGTTATCGCACTGTTTGTGAATGGATTACCTCTCGAGATGGTGATGGGGGAGGAAGAGCAGTGGGACTGCTCTGAGAGTTGGCACAGACTCGATGGGCCTAATGATCTCCTTCTATGCTGTAAATTTCCACGATTCTGCTTATATCCCATCCCTTGAAGATTTTTTTTTATTCTCGAAATATTTCCCCTTTTTTAAAAAAAAGGGAGCACCTGCAATTTGACGGCAGTGCCCGTAATTACCTATAAAAATAGTAAATACTGCTATTTTCAATTTTCATTGCACTTTTCCTACAATTTAGGATCCCGAAAGTTTAGGGCTTCACTTTTTCAGTATTTCCAGTTTAATAAAATGGATACAATTTGTCCACCGCTGCTAAACATGACAGTTGTAATTTCTTTAGAAACTGCATGGGTAGGACTGGAATAATTATTAACTGCCATATTGTGATCTATTGCACTCGATTTAAAAAGCACTTTGAACGTGTTTTTCTAACAAATAACTTTAATGCATTGTTGCTTTCAACCTCGTATACGGCGAACATTATTGACAAAAACTCAATTTAACAAAGCCAAACCACGTTCATTCCGAATTAACTGCTTCGTATTTCTTAACGCTCAACTTCAATTCATCCAAAGTATGAATATTGTAAAGCAAAAAAAAATCATGTAGAAGAGTAGACGTAATACTTTGTCTAAATTGTGCATTCAAAACATCTAAGGGGAATCCATTCTCTAACTGCAGTGTAGATCAGCAGTTTGTGGTATTTTGTAAAATCTTTTGCAAACGTTAAGATAAATACAGTCTGCTCTAAAGTGTGTGATTGTGTTCCGCATATTCAGTGGTGTAGTGCAGATCAGAATCATTTGCATATGTTTGTGTGTGGCATGGATATTAATAAAAATGTCCAATACTTTATACGATTTTTATGCCGTATGATTTGTCCATAAGCTCCCAATCTTCGTATTGATATCTTATGTATGTTTATATATGACATACCGTATGTTAAGCATGTCTTAGATATTAGATACGTTTGAGAAATATCCTCAGTTCACTCGTCAGTCTAAATTGACTGAATTATTAAAACATTTTAAACGAATATTTTAAACGAATGTATAAAGGGAGTACAGCACTTCGAGTTAAACAACTGGAGTACAGCTGCAAAAAAAATCTCAAGTGAGACCTGAACTACTCGGTTTTCAATCGTCACGAATCCAGCGAAAAGGAATTACGTTTCGAGATAAATAGAGGGACATCGGGTGATGTTATAGCATCAGTGAAGCAAACCCTAGTGGTGCAAATTGGGTCGGAAAGTGATAATAAGCGCATTATTGGGGGGCAGTTTGCCCAGAGAAGCCCACAGGCTGGCACAGGAGGAGGGAAGGTCAGGGTTAGTTAACATCAGCGCACATTCCCTGCAAAAATGCCCACGACGCTCTCTCCCATCAGCAACATTTCAGTGGATTATTTCGCGATCGATCGGGAAGAGTCTGTAACGTGTGGAAACCCAACTCCCGACCCTCTCGAAGAGTCTCCATTCCACTTCCGCACTGCCCTGTACTAACCCGCTCTGGTTCCCGAGCTTCCTGAAAGCCCGGTGTTTTGGGGGAATACCCCATAGGATATTTCCCCCAGTTAGTGAACCGAAATGGTTCTGTTTTAGTTGATTATTGTGTGCATGTGTGTGGGTGGGTCTGAGAGGCAATTTAAACTGATGAGTAACTAAGGATATTTCTCGAAAGTTTTTAATTCTCCTGATCGAGGAGTCCACGACCTGCAATGGGTTTATTTCCAGAGTGCACTTTGAGGACACTTGTGTTCTTGGAACAGAGGCAATAACCACCAGTCTTGCTCCTGTGATTTCCCATCATTTGGAAGTGGATGTAACATAATTATTATATTATTCACAGAGTCACATTAACATATTCATTGCAACAACAATGTTGTTTAGTAATGGGAATCTGTCCGTATCTGCACACGATCAGCACAGCCCTGAGCAGTTTTGCACGTGGATAATTAACCCACCCCGCAAAATACCTCCCGACGATCACTTCCTGGAAGCTCTGCGGAACCCAAGTTTCTAACCGAGTTAGAGTTTAGGCTTATTTCACGCCTCTTCAGACCTGTGAGTTTTCGGATCTCCTCACTGCACTGCACCACTCCGCACGGCACTGCACCACTCTGCACTGCACCACTCCGCACGGCACTGCACCACTCTGCACTGCACCACTCCGCACGGCATTGCACCACTCTGCACTGCACCACTCCGCACGGCACTGCACCACCCTGCACGGCACTGCTCTGCAGCACCCTGCCCGGCCCGGCCCGGCTCTGTGGGCTGCTGCTCCCGGGTAAGAATTCTAATCCAAACCACACGGTGTTTCCTGAACATTCAACCACTGCTTCTATTTCGCCGCCTTCATAACCACAATTCCGAAAATAAAAAACACCCTCAACCCCACCCCCCACCCTATCCTCACCCTCACCCCCACCCTCACCCCCACCCTCAACCCCACCCCTATCCCCACCCTCACCCCCACCCTCACTCCCATTCGAAAGCGACTGCGCTTCGCCAGGATTCCGTAACACCGACGTTTGCGAAACTTGCAGCTACCGCTTATTGCAGGT